ATAGAATTATATATATTAAATTGCAATTTTTTAATTATTCAGAGAATTTACTATGGCAGAAATAGAACATTACGTTGATCCTGACAAAAAAGATCACGCACGTTTTGATGAAGTAAAAGACATTAAGCTTCGACTATTGCCTCAGTCAATACAGGAAGAGGGCAAATTAGAACCTGTTGAGATGAGTATTGGTGAAGCAGTTAATAAAGTAAATAAATAAATAGTATTTATCATGCAAATCCATTTCATTATATTATGCTAATCCTAATTAAAACAACCTGATAGAAAATAGTTGATAATCAGACACTAGGTTATTTTCTTGCAAGGATACATTTATTTTTACTCAAACTTGGAATAAAATATGAAAAACTTCGTTTTCGTCAACATATGCCAAATGAGATGGCACATTATGCCTGTGATTGTTGGGATGCAGAAATTCAAAGTAGCTATGTTTGTTATCACATTTTAATATATTAATAATCTATTTACATATTGGTTTTTTTTCACTAGTGTTATTAAATTTTTTTTTTAAATTTTTTTAGGGATGGATTGAATGTGTTGGATGTGCAGATCGTTCAGCATATGATTTAACAGTTCATTCGAATCGTACAAAAGAAAAACTTGTGGTGCGGGAAAGTTTACAAACACCAATAGTTTATGAGAAGACAATTTTGGAAATAAACAAAAAAGTGTTTGGGCCCAAATTTCGACAAAAATCCAAAATTGTTGAAGAATATTTGGTAGGATTAAATGATATTGAACTTGACAACTTGAAAAAAGCATTAGATGATGGTGATGGGTAAGTAAAACATTTCTGTATATGTAATCAAGAAAATAATTATAAGCATTATTCTTATTATTCTTTGTGCATATGTTTATAGAAAAACTAATGTTACTGTTGGAACAGATGGTGATACATATGAAATTACAAGTGATTTAGTCACCATTAGCCGTCAAACAATCTCAGAGCATGGTATAATTACTATATTACACTAAATTA